CTACATTCACCTTTACTGGCTCCAACCCCACCTCTTTGACCTGCCTGTCTCCTCTCCACTTATCTTCTCCTTTATCCATCTTCTATCCACCTCCCCCGCCTTTCCCTATTTATTTCAGAATCCCCTTCCCCTCCCCCATTTCTGAAGAAGGGTCTAGACCCGAAACGTCAGCTTTCCTGCTCGGCATGCTGTGTTCATCCAGCTCTACACTGGTATCTGTTATCTCAGATTCTCCAGCATCAGCAGTTCCTACTATCTCTATTAATTACCTTGCATTTGTTAACCAAAACAGCAGATTCTATCCAGGCCATGGTGTCAAAAAATAAAAAGGAAGAAACTAGAATTTTAAATTGAGAAAAGGAGGATATACTGTAAAGACAGTCTATCTATAAATTTCAAGTCACCACAGCTGGATGAAATGCATGTAAGAATACTTAAGGAAACAAAATGCAGAAACACAGAGGCACTGGCCATAATTTTTCAGTCTGCCTTAAAATTCGGGTGATGCCAGAGAACTGAAAATTGTTTAAAAAGGCTGTAAAGATTAGCCCAACAATTACAGACTAGTCAGTTCAACTTCAGTCTTAGGACAGCTCTAGAGATAATAATTTGGGTTAGAATTAAGAGTTTTACAGACAGTTATGAATTCAAGGACAGCCAGAGATTGGAGGGAAAAATTACATTTAACTTGGAGCTTTCTGAAGCGGTAATACTATTGATAAGATCATAAGAAATAGGTACAGTAGGTGTAGACCATTTGAGTCTTAATCCTGCTCCACCCTTAAGATCTGGCTAATCCAACATTCCTTGTGACCATCTTCCTGCCTTCTCCTTGTAACTATAGATTCCTCTACTAATCTAGAATCTCTCTCAGCCTTAAATATACATAAGGACTCTGCTCCCACAGCTTTGTGGCAAGGAGTGCCAAACAAACCCTCAAAGGAAATTCCTCATCACAGTCTCAATTTGGAACTGGTTTACCCTGGACAACACCCTCGGATCCTAAATTCTCCCAATAAAGGGGAAACAGCCTCTTGGTAGTTAGCCCATTAAGCCCCCCAAGAATCCTATGCATTTCAATGAGATCACTTCTCATTCTTCTAAATTCCAATGAATAGAGTCCCAACCTGTTTAACCTTTGTTCATAAGATAATCCCTCCATACCAGGGTATCATGACAGTAAGCCTTCTCAGAACTGCCTTCAAATGAAATATACACATCTAAGGAAATATATATAGGTGTGCACAAGGCATTTGACAGCTTCACAACAAGTGAGGAAAGATAGAGCTCAGAATTAAAAAGGGCCATCAGCAACACAGATACACAAGTAGCCAAGTGACAGGAAAAAGTAACAAATGGATATTTTTCAGATGGGGGAGACAGGTTTGTAGAGGCCCTCCCAGGTTTCAGAACTGGATCCTCTCGTCTAGAAATGTCATAGTGTTATAGTAACTCGGCACAGAAACCAACTCTTTGGTATCCTAAACCGATCTAGTCCCATTTGCCAGCATTTGGCCCTCTTCATCCCTCTAAATCCTTCCTATTCATGTACCCAAGCAGATGCTTTTTAAATGTTGTAATTGTACCCATCTCCACCACTTTTGGCAAGCTCGTTCCAGTCATGCACCACACTGCATGAAAAAAAATGCCTCTCAGGTCCCTTGTAAATCTTCCACCCCTACCCCTCACCTTAAACCTACACCCTCTAGTTTTGGACTCCCCTACCTAGGGAAAAATACAATGGCTATTTATCCTATACATGCCCCTTGTAATTTTATAAACCTCTCTAAGGTCACCCCTCAGCTCTTACGCTCCAGGGAAGAAAAGCCCCAGCCTATTCAGCCTCTGTCTATAAATCTTGTAGATATTTTCTGAACCCTTTCTATTTTAACATCTTTCCTATTACAGGGAGGCTAGAATTGAATACAGTATTCTAAAAATGACCTTAATGTCCTGTACAGCCACAACATAACATCCCAATTCCTATAATCAATGTACTGACCAATGAAGGCAAGAATGCATTCTTCACCATCCTGTCTACCTGTGACTCCACTTTCAAGAAACTAGGCACCTGCGC